AAAGACGGTTGTGTGCTTACCAGAAAGCGCGAATCCTGCTCTTTCACCCCATGAAAAAAGTGCATCACAGAAATGAAAATGAAGTGAGTTATGCCCGCTTAAAGCCCAAAAACTCGCGATTTCAAAAAAAGTGTTCGGCAAAACCCCCAAAATGTTCGAACGTGTGATTTTCTCGAAAAATGGTTTTGACTTGTTAGAAAGAGCAAATCCTGTACTTTCACCCCATGAAAAAAGTGCATCACAGAAATGAAAATGAAGTGAGTTATGCCCGCTTAAAGCCCAAAAACTCGCGATTTCAAAAAAAGTGTTCGGCAAAACCCCCAAAATGTTCGAACGTGTGATTTTCTCGAAAAATGGTTTTGACTTGTTAGAAAGAGCAAATCCTGTACTTTCACCCCATGAAAAAAGTGCATCACAGAAATGAAAATGAAGTGAGTTATGCCCGCTTAAAGCCCAAAAACTCGCGATTTCAAAAAAAGTGTTCGGCAAAACCCCCAAAATGTTCGAACGTGTGATTTTCTCGAAAAATGGATTTTGACTTGTTAGAAAGAGCAAATCCTGTACTTTCACCCCATGAAAAAAGTGCATCACAGAAATGAAAATGAAGTGAGTTATGGTCGCTGAAAGCCCAAAAACTCGCTTTTGCACGAAAAATGTTCGAACGGGACAATTTTTTGAAAAAGGGGACAATCACTAAACTTTTTATACTGTTTTGTTAGAGAAATATTTGAAGTTTCTGAAACTTTTTACAGCTTTCCAAAATGTCGCATACGAAAGATTTTATGGGCCTTCAAAGTTGAAGGTGCGCCTTCTTAGAATTTTGGGTTTTCCACTTCTAACAGAAGTACTTTCCGGAGAGTTAGGCAATCCTTGTAGTTTTCTGGAAGCGCACCTCAGGCACAATCAAAATCTACCTCAACAAGTCAAAAAAACGTCCCAAGAAAGTTATTCCCCTCTAAAATTTTTTCTTCGCCGCGTCCCGTTCTTCCAGCGCCCGGGTGATACCTGCCGCGCTCCAAGGCCGACGCGACGACGCGCAGACGCTTTCTGGCGCAACGGATTCATGTCTAGCACTCTTATTAACAAAAACAGGGGGTCGCAACTGGACCCCCTCGAGAGCTAGGGGGTCGCAAAAATCCCGAAAATGTTCGAACGTGACGGTTGACCCTGCTCTACACCCAGAAACCTCTTCCTACTGCAACGTTGAGTCCTGCGAATACAACCCCCCATCTAGCGTTAGCCAAATACGACCCCCCGTTGGACAAAGTCCCGTCAACCGTTGGACAAAGTCCAACGGTTGACCCTGCTCTCAGCATACGGTGACAAGTAAAAAAGCGCGTAAAACGACGCTTCTTGAATCCTTCAACAGGAGCTCTTTACCCTAGTTGTTCGCTGCTCAAGGGCCTGACTGTTTTCATCAGACTTTTGAGCAAACCATTCAGAACTGTGTTCAGGAAAGAAACGAATCGCATGTGAAAGTTACTATGCGCGGAATGTTTTTTTTTAGGGACGCCAAGGTTCACTGTTTGTCCCCTGGACCGCTTATCTTGTCTCCGTAGCACGGCCGGAAACCAACTTGCTTCGTCTCCTTTTTCTCACAGTAGGGAAGCGGGAGAGAAAACGCTGTATACTGCCAGTGATGCATTTTAACGGTCCGAATCAATCATAACGATAGCGATGGGGTAGAGTAAATTTGAAAAGAAAATTCTGAATTTGCAGACGAATCCTGACACCTTGTGCTCTCTCGCTCTCAAGAGTACTAGAAGTAACTGTCCCTCGGGTGGTGGGAAGCTTTATTACCCTAATGGAGTTCCATAATAGAATATTCGGTTGCCCATACTGTCTGCATTTACCACATTAGTTAATACATATAAAAACCGGCGTGGCGTTAGTTTTGGTAGTTATTACCCTTTGACGATCTATTCCTGATTGAATGTGTTTAGTTCGGGAGCTTAATGAAGTCATAAAGACACAGACAGAAGTGAAATCCTTGCAATGTATCGCTCGTTGACCATTTTGCACTTTATGGGCACAATGATTATCGTGCACACTCAGTCTGAGAAGCGCTGGAAAAATTTTGCAGAGAGAGTTCCACAGTATTATCTGTGAGCATTCGTTCATAGAGTGAACGGGGGCATGAAAGGAAAAAATGCTGGCATGTTCTCTATTGAAAATCAAACTGTGCGCTAAGAATATGGTGGCAATTTCCTCATGAAAAAAGAAGAACTGCAGCATTCAGATGGCGGATGTATAATGTTCAATGAAATCGGAACAGTTGTATTGCATTCCATTACACATTGTTACAAAATGATTCATGGAGGAATTTCAACAGTCAAACAAGATATGATTTCAAACGGATAGGATCGAACGGATCACTGTTCTGCAGTTAACCCCTTAACGGAAATCCGATTCCTCAGTCTTCTTTTCCTTGACCTTTCCTCCAGAGGGAGTCAAATTTTTGACCAAGAAATGGGGTGAATGCTTTGGGGAATGGGATCCTTTCTTGTCCTGCGATACTTTGGAATCTTCGTTTTCGGGGAGATTTGTAGCAGCCTCCAAGGCTTCGGGAACTTCAGTCTTGGGAAGATTTGTGGTGGTCACCTCATCACTCGGTTCGACGCCAAAGAAACCACCATCGGTCAGAACTTTGCCGTCGCCATCTGTCACGGTTGTCTTGCCGTCAATCGTCGTGTAGACAGTCGTCTTCCCATCGACAACAATTTTCACAATCTCTTTGGTCTTTCCATTCTGGCTCATACATCGTGTTGAAAGAAAGTAGGATGCGCCCTCAGGAACTGTTTTTGTGTATTTCTTCCCGCCAATTGTTTGAGTTATGGTTGTGGTGCCATTCTCAGAAGTGATACCGTAGTCCCGCGAAGTGTGCTTGAAGGCTTCCCTGAATTCTTCCTCCAACTTTTCTACCCATTTGCGTCCAAAAAATCCATTCTAAAAATGCGGATTTGTATATAAATTGCAAAAGACGGGAAGTTGTAGCGAATCAGTTAAATACCGTGAACTCGGAGAAATCCGGAAATATGCTCGTGAACGCATTTGGGAATGGATTGATGGAGAATGACGGGAAAAAATCGTCAAATCCGAATCTTGGCACAAGGTACTGAAACCATCTGTATTCAACGACTTGTTGTTAACTCTTTGATACTTGAAAACTAAGATAGGACTGAGAGAAAAAGGAAAAATAAAGTCTACCATACACCTACTACATGTCTACCACATCCATTAGACTGCTGAAAACATTTTTGCGGTGTTTGATATTCATTATGAATACGATTTTTTCAATCGATCTTCCGCTATATTACGCTTTTTTATATATGTATCATAGCAGATTAGGTTTTAGTCAGATCTATAATCGGATTTGGTAGAAAGCAGCTTGCCTATTTTTTCAGAACGCTGAAAACTACAGAGAAGCAGATTCGCACATGTCTAATACAGATAAGGTCGAAAATCCACGGAAAAAGCTCGAAGAAGCATGTCATACGCTGACAAGGTTGAAGTAAAACTTTGGTAATTTAAAATCCGCGCAGAGCTGCTAAGGAGTAACTCATGCCTGGCTTAGGCCTTTGAAGAGTTGCAAGTGTACAACAAAGGATAAGCGGGTACCGTAGAAAATCGTCGGGTGTTCCGTCCAAGCTTTTGCAATGAAAACGACTTGTTCCTCAAAAGAAATACGGTGTGGAATGTGGAAAAGATTCTTTGCAGTATTGACAAGCTTTCGCTCGATTGTCGGAGCGCGGTCAAGCCCCACAAGACCATTTAACCAAAACAGCACGGAAAGCAGCCTATGGTTAATGTTCGGAGTTCGATCCGACTGAACTGCCTCTTCTCAATTTTATCTCGAACGGAACTTAAACAGCGGAAAGGTGTTTGCTCAATGTTGAAGAAACATATCGAAAACAGCAACACATGTGACCGCCTTTTTTTGGCAGGAATGGTGATTCATCCCCACAAAAATGCTTGGCAACACATCGCTCAAACCATCACGAGTTTAACAAGCTTTACTGTGAAACATTACTGCACAAGGCTTACTCATCTCACATCTCGCCCACTAGCTACCACTTTTCAGACAGCTGAATGATTTCCTAGAAAACCAATTCTCTGGAACTCAGCAGGACACTGATGCCACCTTCCACTTTGCGCAAGTTATGATAGTTTCTCGTTGAAGACAACGTAGTGATGTGATTCAAACAGTGATGGTGGTGCTCTAGTGAGTATAGCAATCATTATTTTAATTCACGAAATTTTCTCAGGCGGATACTCGAAGTTTAACACATTGACGACAGCGCGGGATACATGTATCCCGCACTTCCGCTCGGACGAGGCTCGTTCTAATTAACTTGTGCCTCCATTTTCACCTTCCCAGTGGTCCATATGTATTATCGGCTGCTAAAATAGTACACTTCTTATAAATAATGAAACTTTTGATGAAGTAATGACTACTGATGAAAAATTCTAAGAAAAGGTAAGTATGCGCACACTGAACAGAGGTCGCCAATGTGCTAATCTTGAACCGCAGTACTGGCAACATCATGCTAGCGAGTGCTAAGCAAGATGGCCTACGCAATCTACTTTTTCGCAGAACTTTTGTTTTAAAGTCCCACCAATCAAGCGCTTAGGAATTTCGTATAAAAAGTGTACTAAGCTCACCAAATCAAGGGCACTGTACTCGAGCTTCTTTAAATGGTGAACTAGAGGTTCTGGTGAAGACGGAAGGCCTTCATAAAGGACAAGCTCTATGAGACATGACCCCGGAACTTCTAATGGGATACGTACGCATTCTACGTGAGGGACCTATGCGTGCGATCAGGGTCCAAAAATTGCACCGATTAGCAAAGCAGTCATGTCAAGAAAGACCAATGTAGAGACCGCGCCGAATAACTTGTAGAAGAAGGTCCCTTCTTACGAGTATCCAGCAGTCCCAGGGTATCGATGTTTTGGAATGATTTGGTAGGTAACACCGTTGGTATAACGCTTTTCAAGTTAAGTTTTTCACTGTACCGTGGTATGGGCGCATCGCTTGACATTGACCTTCTGGAATTACAAGGGGTGTGATTACATAATCCTTTAAACCCCTGAACACTGCCTCTGGGTGCAGTAAAACAGGACATGCATCATAACCAAATTGAAAAAATGCACTTGCCTCGAAATGAGCCTACGAGACGTCCTTACCTGAGCGTTCGATGTCACTGAATATGCGAGCAGGAAGAGAACTGAAAAGGCAACCATGACGATGGGGATCTTGTTGTTCGCACTGCTGCTGCCCTATCCGCAACGTGTATTTATAGAGCTGAACAAGAGTGTGGGAGCCTCTATCGATCAAAGGGTTAGAAAATATCACTAACGATGACTCATCCGTTGCACCGCCCAAGCGATGAGCGGATGTTTACCAGGGTGAGCCACAGTCCACGAAGTCCCCGATATGGGTTCTTGGCTTTCTGGGGTAAGGGCATAGTTGACAATCTACAGCACGGTGCAAGTAGAATGTACGCAATGTTTTAGGTTCAGAAATTTTGGGAGAACACACAGAAATTGTAACGGAGTCGTCCACTTGCAACGGACGCTGTTGACTGCCTGGGATCAAATCTGGCGCATATAGGCAAAACACTGACTATTGCCAAACACATTGCGATGTTATCGAGCACTTTTCCAGAAAATCCTTTAGTAAGTTTGTGTCGAGACTTTTGGACTTGCCAGTTTCAGGTGCGGTGTGCTCTCGACTCAGATTCAATGTGTTGCAGGGAGGGGGAGGGTGGGTGGGTTTTGCAGAGGATGGGCTGTGACAACTGTCATGTTATGTTAAACCGGACACCCTTGTGTGCTTACCTGTACCACAGAAGTGATGGTGGTGAGGAGTTACTGTCGTGCACTTATGAGCTACTCCAAGACTCTAAGGCCTGGCTTGCACTGGGTCGCTCTGATCGAACATTTTTGTGTTTCCTTAACACTAGTGTGTTAAAAATTTAGCGACGCGGTTACAAAGTCTTTCTAGGGTTACGGGTGAGTTTGCCAAAAAGACGGCTTAACAAACCACCAATTTATGTTAATTAGGGTTCCATAGGTATTCAACAATTGAATCGAAAGCAATAATATCAATGGGTCCGAATTCTCGGAGATGCTCTGTTTCGTTGCGCTTTACAGGAAGCTGGGTGTGAGAACTTATTGGAACATCGACTAGGCGCACAGATGCGTACGGCGGACTGCTTTTTGCAATTCGGCAATTGAGAATGGTTTTTAATGTTAACTCTGCATAACAATTGTGACGTACGTCCCATGAAGCCTAACTGGATCGATGCGCCAGTGTGTTAGCCGATTTGTTGTTGAAGGGTGATGAAGCTGACGCGCAATGCGCGGTCAGAACCTTGGCACCACGTCGGACATGATGACGCGCGTGCGCGTGAGAAACACATCATTCATTTTTATCGTGCATGCGCTCCTCTCTACTTAGTTTTTTGTATTCATCAATAGATAAAACATCAACATAAGCTATAACTTTACAATGGTCCCAGCACTGTGGTTTCGAATATGCCTAATCGCATTGGTGTGTAGAACAATTTATCTAAAACTACAGAATTCCGGTGACAATTCTTCCTAGTTTTCCTTCACCAGCGGAAACCACTCAGAAAGATTGTAGCATGAATTAGTATATAAGCTGGTTGAGTTTTTAAAATATTTGTATTTGATGGAAAAACTAAGGTATAAATGCTTTTCATTCCACAGAGCAGAAGTGGATGTTTTTTGCTTCTTCATAGTCATTATGCGTCCTTATAAACAAATTCTCCTTGCTATTATATATGGGTAACCTCCACGTTTCGTCCTTGCCGAAATAATCCTATGAGATTCAAGTTATTGTGCATTTTTAACAAAAAATAAGCGGAAGTAAGGTGAGGACGGCGCGCTCGCAAAATCGCTCCTGTCCCACGCGGTGCAAAATGCCAAAACACGCGATGTCGTCAACGTGTTGAATCTGAATCACTAACCTGCCAATCGCTGAAGCTGATGAACTCTTCAAAAGCCCTGCGCCAGTTCTGCGCTACTCATGGCTTATAAATGGAAGTCCCTTCTACAGAAGTGCATCGCGTATGTGCCGGTTCGGATGCGTTCCTCTCTATCGGGAACCATGCCAAGCTATCAACTGACTGAACTGCAGTAAAGACGTACTGCTTCGTCACATTGCAATAGACTGCAAGTACCAAGTGCGTGTCGAATCCGTCTGGGATGAATCCCCCTAGTTGACGGTAGGGGTATTCATCCCCGAAGTGTTAGTACGGTCGTCGAGATATCCCCGACGATCGTATGCAACAAGCCCTGAAGGTCGTCGTGGATATATCCCCGAAGCCGTATGCAACAAGCCCCAAAGGGGATATATCCCCAACGACCTTCGCGGCTTGTATGTCTCTGACGATCCTCGAAGTTTGTTGCATACGACCTCGGGGATTCCCCGACGATTCTGGGGCCTTGTTGCATACGGCTCAAAGGCAGGGTCAACCCTGCGTTGCGCAAATTCCAAAATTTTTACGACCCCTTCCTTTTCGGAGGGTATCGGTACGACCCCCCGTATTAACTATTATGTCTTTCACATAATTTAATGCTCATCATTGATGTGTGGGCAGTCACCAACATGGAGAAGTGGTGGACCGTGGTCAATCCGCGCGCTCTTGTCTCGCTCAGAGGAGGAAATCGAGGCAACATGAAGTTTTATTCATTAAATAGAAGGAATTTCCAAATTTTTGCGTAAACCAATACATCATTTTAATCGTAAAGATTTCTACTTTCAGAAACCTACCAAGTTTTTTTCGATCTCTCAATTTTCCTTATTTTATAATCTGAAAAACTAAACCTTGTAGCAATTACGTTGCAATCCAAACCCCTCCATTCAGAAGGTTATATTTTTCTTCAGAAGCGGTCTCATGGAACCGGACACCAAAATTTTAAAAATTCAAATAGTTTTCTTCCTAAAAAGTATTTGAAATGTTGCGGATGTTCAATATTTCAAAAAATCGTCCCGTTGTTCCGTTTTTTGTGCACACGCGAGTTTTCGACATTCAAACATTCATAACTTTCTTCATAATCAACTTTTTGCAGATGTCTAAGGCTAATTAGAAACTAGAAGATTAGAGCTTTCGAACAAGCACCTGACTTTTTCCAGCGATCACTCTCTCAAAAAATAGTCCCGTTGTTCCGTTTTGGGGGGTTTGTGGTCCGATTTTTGAGAAGGCGCGAGTTTTCGACATTCAAACGTTTATAACTTCCTTCACTATCACCTTTTTCAAATTAGAAGCTAGAGGATTGAAACTTTCGAAAAATATCGAGTTTTCTTTTCCAAATATCTACTCTTTCGAAAAATCTTCCGTTATCTTTTTTTTTCTCTGTGACTTTTTAAGGCCATTTTCCTTGAACGCTACTTCTCAATCTTCAAATCCTCATCATTTTCTTCAAAATCGGTATGATGAGAAGCGGCGAAATCCGTTGGAGTCTACATGAACTACGCGATAAAGAAGCAGATACACCCGGGGGTGGAGTGATGATTATAATTAGAAATACTATTTCTACTTCTCTCACATCGTCTCGTAATTTTTCCATTTATTTACAGTGCATTTCCATACAAATCACATTGTCCAATACTACAGCTTGCATCGTGCTGTGCTACCGTAGTCCATCTTGCCCAGTTACCTCTTTGAAGAATTTCTCCTCTATCTTGAAGAACTCAGTGAAAATCGCTTGCCGCTTATAATTCTTGGTGATTTCAACTTTTATGAGCTCACATGGTCCCATCAATCTCAGACTACAGGAACGGGTTCGAGTTCGAGAAATCAGAGTTTTTTGTTTGCTGATTTTGCTCGCGCTAATGGTTTCGTACAGCTAGTGTTACAACCTACGCACGGTTGCAATTTTCTAGATATAATTCTGTCTAACAGCCCCACACTCGTGAGAGATCTCTATTGAAGCACCTTTTTCAACTTCCGATCATGCCACAGTTACCTTTTCACTGTCCTTTAGTAGACCAAAACAGTCTCAGAAATTTTTCATAGATTTTGCGAAGGGGAATTACAATATTATCTGCGACCATCTTCTCCGTGTAAATTGGCGCCAGATCTTTGATGCTTGTGTGACTATAGATGATTGCTACATAGCCCTTATGAGTTGTTGCCATTTTCTTATCTCTCGATTTGTGCCTTACGGCTACATCAGCGATAAAACAGCGAATGTTCCACGACACTTATTGAGGTTACAAGCCCAAGTAGAAAAGCTATTCAGAAGAAAGGATTACTTGCATAGTCAAAAATATCTTAGACTATCGAGGCTATTAAAAAAGAAACTAGCAAGGATGAGTCTTGAGCGCGAAGAAAAAATTGCTCGTTCAAAAAATGTTAGAAAATTTTGGAGTTTTTGTAATTCTAGGCTCAAATCTTCAGCTGCCTTTAGTACTATTATTTCCATGTCGGGGGAGCAGTGCATTCACGACTTTGATAAAGCGGAAGCCTTCGCTGAGTATTTCGAAACATTTTACAAAAGGTGTTCTCCATTACAACATGAAAGTTTTGCCATAACCTCTAGTTGCTGTCTTGATTGGATCGATATCAACTATGAAAATGTTTTTCACACCCTAAATAGCCTTCCTTTGCGCTGCTCCACTTCTCCTGACGCTCTCCCCTACATATTTCTCAGAAAGGCAGCTCTTGGACTTGCACCCGCAGTGACTTGTTTATTTAATCGGATAATGCTCAAGGGAGAAATTCCAGCCATGTGGCATTTAGGTTTAGGTTTTGTTCGACCTATACATAAAAAAGGTGATAAAAGTTATGTGAAGAATTACAGACCTGTATGCCTCACGGCATCACTCAGCAAAGTTATGGAGCGAATCATTTGTTGCAAGCTCAGAGAGTTTCTCATTTCTAATAATCTGATAAGCCCGTGTCAACACGGTTTCCTTCCGAAAAAATCTACTTCCTCTGCGCTCCTTTCATCTATTCCTATATGGCAAAATGCTATTGATAAGAGGAAGTCGGTTTTTATAGCATATATAGACTTCTCTAAGGCTTTTGATTCCATACCGCTCTCCCATTTATTTGCAAAATTAAGACAGTTAGGTATTTCTGGCTGTCTTCATAACTTTTTGAAGTCATTTCTCTCCAACAGAAAACAAACCGTTGTACTCAATGGTGTGCGTTCCCGAATCTATGGAACAGAAAGTGGTGTTCCACAAGGCACTTGTCTTGGTCCTCTAATGTTCACTCTGTATATTAATGACTTGCCACAGTACCTCCCACCGAATGTGTACTGTTTGATATACGCTGATGATGTCAAAATCTTTTGCTTAGATCAACCCCACTTATTACAGCAAGCGCTAGATTCCATTTCCAAATGGTCACAAGATTGGAAGCTCGACATTTCCCTTGAAAAGACAACATTTTACGGCTAGGTTCCTACGCCTCAATGAATGTCACCTTTTCGATATGTGATACAGAACTTAAAGAATCAGAAATAGTGCGTGATTTGGGAGTACTTTATTCACGATCCCTTTCCTTCGAAGATTACATTGACAAAATCGTACATTTAGCTAGTTGCAAGGCCAACTTTATTCTGCGAGCATTTTCAACCAGGAAGGTTGAAACTTTGTTTTTATTATTCACTACTTATGTTCGCCCGAGGGGGGGGGGGGGGGAGGCTGGGTGCTCGAAGGCAAGTTTTTACATGACTGGGCGCTAAACGGTTCCATCTCTTAACAAACCGCAATTTTCTGCAGGATTAATTTCCTAACCATGGAAAAGTGGTTTAAAACGATAGAGCACGAAAATGCGATAAAAAACATCTACAAGTGTCCAACCTCGGTCTCGCAGACCTGAGGCCGGTACGGTAACCGGTCCACATCCATGCGTACATATTAAAGGATAAAAAAGGATAAAGCATTTGCCGTTGATCAATCCCTTTTGGGATGCGGCACGCATTCTACTTCCATTTGTACATTCGTAGTGGCGTTTGAATGCGATGTGGCCTATACAATGACTTGCGGGGCCAGCCGATGTACAAGTCAGTGTTTTTATCCTCCCAGACAAGTCTGGTACCAATTAACCGACCCCGGAGGGATGGAAGGCTTGGTTGGCCCGGGCGACTCACGACCGCCGCGTGGTAAGCGTCCACTTGCCTACACTACATTCGGACCGAAGTTAAAGTCTGTTATCATTTTGAACCTCTTTGGCTCTATCGCGAGAATCGTCTGGCAAATTTGGAGTATTCGGGAGGCTCAGGTGATCCACATCTCATCTCAAATGGTTGATTCGACCTGCTATAATTTCCTCGTGAGCGAAGATGAAGCAAATGGTCAAGGTGCCACTCATTACTTGCACAGACCGTTGTGTTGACCCCGTTATGGGCCAGTAAGCAAATGTTGCGATCAAAGTGAGATCTCGTTTGTGTGTTTGCATGCGCATTCTTTTGACATTTTCGCGGGTGCGCTCCTTCTAGCTTTACCTGTGCTTGTACAATGTATGCGTTTTTGTAATTCGATAAGAGCGATTTTTCTGTTCGATTTCTGATTGTTGTTGCAGTTCAGGTAGACACATCTCTCAGTACACCACATCGTGAACATGATAGAATTACTGACATTCTTGCTGAAGAAGGACGAGTACCACTTTCGCGCATTGCCATCGAAGCAAATCGTATAGGAGAGTTGGTGTGACGTTTACTTGATTTGCAGCCTTGGTATACCATGCACTCCGTTTCTGTAAATGACTGTGTTACTGTTTGAAGGAAGATACCAACACTGCCGTGAGTCCAGTCGTTTTCGCTCCTCCGTGTGAACGGCAGCCTGTGATCTTTTTACGTCGGTGAGTTTAAAAGTATTCAACTCCAAGTTCTGGCAATAGTTTTGGCAGGTTTTTTTCCTCTAAACTATTTTTCTGTCTTGTTTGCTGTAACATAATAATATATTATATTTCTCTTGAAGAATAAATGCTGAACGGAATGAGATGGAGGCGGGCGTAAGTGATGATTTCTTCGAACTCAGCGTTGATGACGTTAAAGCTCGACAAAAGCAACTTCGTGACGATGTGTAAGTTCGCTTATGCACTAGTTTATTGGCTATGCACTTTAGCACGCCTCTCTCAAGATAGCGGTCATGGCATCTTCGAAAGGCACATAAACACAGAGGACAAGGAGTGTATTAAAAATGCGATTATTTGCGTAAATTGAGGTAATTTCGTTTCAGGTTCACCAAATTGTAGGGACAAATTGGTGAACCTGAAACGAATCTCGAAGGGGCGAGGAAGTGTAAATCGTATTCCCTCTCAAATTTCTTCATGATTTTGAAAGAAAGGAGGATGCTGTTTTCCCAAAAGAGATTGTTCTTCACGAAGTACTTCTTTGTGTTCTCTAATTACCAATCTGTGTGAACTCGATTCATTGTTCTCGAACTAATGCCGTCTCTTGCGTTATCGTTATACTTTGCTATTCAGCCGCCTCAACACTCAGCGCGCTCTTGTGCCTACACAGTATGTGAAAGAAAAGAATAGAGAAAGGAAGTTGGCTGCCTATCGCCATACAGTCATCAGGATACCCGTCGGCAACGACAGATTGATCCAGGCGCAATTTCAAAGTGCCGAACCGGGTGGGTTGTTCCTTCTCACATGCTGATGTATATTAAAATATTTCATTCCAGTTTCACGGCTTTTTGAATGGATTCGTTCTATCATATCTCGTGATGTACCGTTTTCGTTAAAACTTGCGCTAGTCTATAAGATCGAAGAGTCTACTTCGAAGAACTTTGTTGATGCGGACTTGGCGCCCAAATCCACCGTGGTAATCAGATTCAAGGACTCGGTGATCTTCGGTACATACCTTTTTGAAACCTCTGTCAATGTCACCGGTAAGATGTACTGTCTTTAGAGACTATTTTGTTACGAGACTCATTTCGAGAATGTACTCAAGATGAAGCGGACAAGCTGTGCTCCACCTGGTTAGTCATTAAATTGAGTCATATGTTTTCTCCATCCAACTCTTACTGGAAATTTCACCTTTGTGATCGCTTTCGATTTCTGAAGTGCTCTTCTTCGCAATGTGCCTTTTCTGAGTGCATGTGCTTGTAGTTTCATGTTCAAATGATTTCAGGCTGTCAGAAAACACTATATTCAAGCCATATACAGCAATAATAGAGGAGGAAGAGCGCACGGCGAAGAGACCCAATGATACAATGACTTCTGCATCTTCAGAGTTTCACCCACCTCCTCATAAAGCAAATTCAGCCCCAAGATGGCTCAAGAAAAAGTGACAATACAAAGGCGGGTGTAATGTCTGCTTGAGTCTATTTATTTTCACAGTAAGATTACTCATGACTGCTACTAATGCTGCACATGTTGACTTATCTATTTAGTACGGGATTTTCCGGAAATTTTGGTTTTACGAGCCCCACGAATCAATAATTTCTGTTGTGATCCCCTGCAAAAAATAATAAGATTTCACTGACTTCTACTTTTCATTGAG